CCAGATCTCATTTACCACGCATTCACCAGCTTACGTCTGACTGGACCACCGCATTCTGCTCCACAAATTCGAGAGCTATGGAGTTGGTGATCCTGTCCTTTGGTGTGTCATAAATTTCCTACAGGTCAGGGTTCCAAGGGCACTGTCCGATCCGATCCATGCCGAATGTACGGGCCTACGAGAATCAGCTCTGGGGCCGCGTCTGTTTCTCATGTTCATTAAAGTGCTTATGAGTTTGTCTCGGATTTCCTTACTTCGCTGAAGATGATGTGGTGGGCGATCGTCGACCAAGGAGATCAGGATGCGTTTCAGCGTGACGTGTACAGTGCGTATGAGTGTTTACTCCACAATATGCTCTAGTTCGATTCGGGGAAGTGTAAGATTGTTCATCTTCGCCACCAGCCAAATATCACTCACAAGCTTAAAGACCATGTTTTTCAAGCGGCCACCCAGAATCGCGACTTTGAGGTAGTAATCCAGGTTGATCTGGGCTGCTCAGCAAATTCTGAGAAGGCGTCAAACATTGGGAACCAACATGTTGACATGTTACGGGGGATATTTGGGCCGTTTTATCACTGTCTGTTCGCAGTTGTCTAACGCCTACGTGCGGCCTAATGTGGAATACGCAATCCATTCCTGGCAGCCCAGGCACAAGTAAGACCTTGCAGCGTCCGAGACTCCACAGCGATGAGTCACGAAGCAAGTCAAAGGGTTGTCCAACCTTCCTTATCAACTTAAACTGAGGACCCAAAAGTATACGGCGGTCGGTATCGGCTCCCACTTGGTGATCTTATTATGACCTAGGAGATTCTAAAGAAAGCAAACAACGTCTGCCGCAATTTACTACAACTGAGCCACAACACGCATTTGAGGGGCCACCAGTTCAAGTTAGCCAAGCAATACGGTCGGCTAGAATGCGACGGAACTTCTACTCTCTTCGTGTGTGCCAACCATGGAAAGCCCCCACACATTACGTTGTTTCCGCCTTGACGTTGTCTTAGCTCACCTACATCACGAGATGTAGCCTGTGTGTCTCAACAGACGAAATGATGTGATGAAAGTTGCACTACTGGAATTAGCCTACGCAACTGAGGTTGGTCCTTTCTGCATGCCGTTGTGTTAACACTGTGATGAGTTCACCAAAACGATTTTCCTTTATCCCTTTGTTTTCTATTCACCATGTCGTGATTGGCTTTTTTGGCAATCCTACGGGGCTTGCTAACAAGCTGCTTTTGGCCGGTAATATACCATTGTTCCGATTGAAATTATTTGGTTTAACACATTTGAGTTGCACCAAGTTTCAGTAAGCAAGACAAGATCAGGTTTATTTAGATACACAAATGTACGGAGTAAGTGAATCTTATTCAAAGTGAATGTATATTAAAAACACCGTTCGGTAAACATTCTGACTCAGCTTTGTGCCACAATACTCATTAGAATTTGTGGTTATATTAGCTAGAGATCTATCTGCAATAACGGCTTCACAGTGAGATCTACGGCATCCGTTGAAAGTAAATGGGAAGCGGAATCAGTGGAGCAATTATAAAAAACGGGTTAGTTTGGAAGAGTTTACCATATGCGGGTACGATAGTAATGTGGAGTCACTCAAAGGTGGTGGTAAAGGAGGTGGGAGCAATTAGAACGGAGGACAAGAAAGTGTACCATTTATTGTCGTATCGGAAGTCACTGACCTAATGGCCAATGAGACCGCGAGCGTATTCTGTGAGGTTAGGGGTTTATGTTTTACAGATAACATAGGATTGTTGTCACTTTTAGCCGTTGTAGTATTGTTTGACTTCACCCCGACCCTATCTGGGCTCTTTCTGAGAATGAAAACTTTCGAGGATGACTGCTGTTATCTCTAGTGGATGGCAGGTCTTTCTACATTTTGCTTGCTGATATGGGTGTACATTTCGACGCATTAATCGCAATGACATCTATTTCCCAGGAAACAATCGAGGCTAGTTTTGTCACCATTTTGGGACAATAAGTCGCCTTTAGATAAATATCCAAACCCTTACTTGATGGACGGGTTTCATACCGCATCTCTACAGACGGGGTTTACTCTGGATCTGAGCATGAGACGACATCATGTGTACCGGTAATGCCCAAGAAAATGTCCTCCATAACATTTTGAGAGTCCATGGTGGCTTCAAAATGATCTAAACTGACCGTTGTGCCTAACGTGCCAATGCGATCTGCATCCTATCCGCATCCTATCCCTTCCAGCGAATTGGTGAGGAATAAGTGGAATTATTTTTCATCATTTAGTATGATGATATTCACGTTGCAGTGCGGTTCCGTCTGCAAAGATGATTACATTGGCTAATCTCGGAATAGTCCTCACATATTTTTTGATTTGAAATTAAGATGCTGGCAAAATGTTCTCTGCTGGCTCGGAAAAGCGTTGTACATGGATGATATAAGGATTTTTCTTTAGTCTATTGTTAATATCGTTTATCAGTATGCTGTAGGTTGTTGCGATCGCAATCTTGATAATGGTAAGCTTCGTGTCGTCCGGTATATTTATGGTAGTAACGATTTTGGCGCGCTTGTATCTTTAAGTTACCACAGAGGCTACAGAACTTAGAAAGTTCATTACCCCATCCATATGCCTGTGCTCTGCTTTAGATGGTGGATCAAGTTAATAAGATACAGATGTCAGGCTTTCCGCGGCAGAATCCAACCGTAAAGGTTTCACATTTTGTTTATTTAATTGCTCCTCTACTAATGCAATTCGGTTTGTTAGTGAGGATGCACATTCAGTAATACTTGCTGAAAAATCACGTGCGACTCTTTTATGAACTTTAGGAGCTAAGGGACTTCGAAGCATGGATTGGTAGCCGCTTTACGTTTTGGTAGCTGACGTTCATGACTTCTGATTTTACAGGGCTATAAACACGGGATTTGCGAGCGTTACATTCAAGTTCTGTTTCTTCCTGGAATTAAGGGTAGAACTTCGTGTTTTTACAGAGCTAACGAGCATTTTAATTGGTTTATCAGTAAGATTGCAGGGCTTGTAAAACCTATCTAAAGTGCACAAAAATTAGTCTGGGGTACAAAAGGCCACCGTTTCAGGTGGTGGAGGCGGCATCTGGTTCCGGATTTGCCTGTCGCTGTGGCATCCATGGGACAGCCACAGGACTCCTGCACCTACAGAGTGACCATGGATGGCTTGCGCTGCGTCCTCCAAAGTTTCATTCACACGCCACATATCTAGCGCAAACCCGAAGGAATATCACCGGCAGGTATGCGGATGGAAGCCACATATCATCAACGGAGCCGGCACACACTCTTTCACAGGCAAACACAGGCACGCTGTGTTTGGGGAATCAAACGCACACACAAGACTGGTTAGGCCCTGGCCCGCTCCACACGCAAAGCATGCGTATGGAACCTTTCTGAGCCTAACACAGTTACGAGGACCGTGCTGTAGAGACCTGGAGAATCCCCTGCATGACTCTGTAAATTGTGCTAAAATATTCTAAAATTATAGTTTTCTTACGTATTGGGGAATTAAACGGGTTGCTTGTCGGAACTTTTTTCCCGTTTGTTTGAAGCACACGATATCCGCCTCTGGCGCTCTCTACTGGACTGCGAACGACGACACGTCCAGGCACTCGACGCCCAGCTACTACCTCCCTAGCTAACTCTCCTTTGGTGTCCTATTTTTAGCCTTAGCTAGCTCTTCATCCGTTCAATAAACCTATTTCCTAACTTATTTTTCTGTGTTCTTCCGTACGCTCACGGTTTGGTCGTTTAGCGTCGTACCGGATATATAGCACACGATCGACGCGCTATAGTGCACCCCGTCCCCTCCAGCAACAAGCAACTGTCTCCTAGAGACAGTATAGACGAAGCAGTGGGTAATAGACAAGTAAACACCGTGTCAACATGAACATCAAGCACACCTACACCGGGATGTCAAGCAACAGCCAATCAATTGAAATGACGATACCAAATCAAAAAAATAGAATAAAACATACGGATATTCCGATTTAACCCTTCACTAAATTAGCAGATGAAATAAATGTGTTGTCGACATATCCGCGATAAATTCAAGATAAATAAATAAATAAGTAACCCTTTTATTCTCGACAACGCGAGACACGCCTTTATAGGCATGCTCATGTTATAATAACAATGTGTGAGCAAAAATGTGCAAAAATACCACATACTTGCCATAATAGTAAACGTATGTATGGATAGGTATATAATTGTGTAAATGTGTGGCTTTGTAGCTTGTGCTTGTAAGCGTGTCGTCGTGTTTGTGACTGTTTGATATCGTCAGCGATGTAGGAATAGACGAGTGATGTCCGTGGATTGGATATAATTCTCCAGATACCCACGGGGCATTGACCTTAGTTTGTGGCGCGTCACATTCATCTGCCTCGTTGCGATGATTACGAATAAAAGTGCTTGATTTTGGGAGAAAATGAACCTGCTTGCTTTGCGAGAGATCATCCTTCTCGAAGTTACGAAGTATATGTGCGCAGCCTCATTCCGTCTTCTGGACACATCTAAAGGTCGTCGGTTGTTGTTTGTGGATTTATCCGAGAGCCTACGCGATGGGCTTTTCAGTGACCGCAAATAGACCCCAAACATCGCCGCCGAATCAAGTTTTGTTTCTGCTTCTTGGCTAGAGCAACTATCCTCTATGAAGCTTTCTTCGTAGGCATCCAGAAAATGGCCTTCGAATACATCAGCTGAGTCGTCCTTTGAGACTTTGGCCTCAGTCAAACAACATGATGACCTCTCATATTTCTATTTGCGGAACTTGATCCAATAACCACAGATGGGGTCTCAGACAGATCAGAATTTTGCCCAGTATTCTTTTCGCTCTGTCTGACCTTCTGTGGAGGAGAAATGCTAACATGATATGTACAGTTTGAGGTCACATGGTCACGACTTACGTATGAAGGGAATCCGTTGGTTTGCGAAGTATGCATATCTGTGTGGTCTATTGACTCATCCTGCATCCTGATGGGAGACAAGCTGATTTAAGAGCGAAAACAGGACAGTTCAGTTCCGTGTAAAATATCCGAGGGGCACAAATGGCTATATGGGGTAAGTGATGGCATCCTGATAGGGGAGCTGGGATCCATCTGCGTGAACTTCAGGAGTGCTTCATAAAAATCAGCGCTTAAAACCAAAGTAGTTGCAAATTGCAACGCTAATTTTGAGCAATGGGATGGAACGGCGCATCGAGGGCCGCTAAACATCACGCTGCCTACGACTGCATTGGAGCCAGGTCCACCGGTGGACTTTCTCTCGCCACTCTTCTCTTCGTCACCAGTCTCCATTAGTTCTGACGCATCGAGTCGAGCGGTAGAATAATCCAGCATCGCCAAAGCATCAGTTAGATTTACCTGTATAGTATACTGAGAGAAGTTAAGTCCCGGTACATGTCTTATTAGCGGGCTACTCCTTGCAGCAATATCAGCGCACAAGTGACCCGGTGAGTTTACATGAAACGCGGTAGCCAAGCTGTTTTGCATGTGTTTCGATACGGATGTGGGTAAATTGCGCGACTTTTCTTCGTGCAAAGGCATATAACCTATTGCGTTCCACATAGTATCCGGAACTGCTTCAAGTATGTTAGCAGAGTCACGTTTAGCAGAATTCGAAGAAGTGACTGAATGGCTAAACACGTTGACAGTAATAGAAGGAGGAACTGTCACATGCTCTTCCACTGAGTCAACGATTGTCAGGTTCGTCCAGGTTTTTCGTAAACTGTCCAAATCAATGTTATCCCTAGGTTTATCAAGAATACGCAAAAGTTCTCACATCATTTGTTTAACATCCCTGCTGCTTCCATGAGGATTTGGTAGGAACAGTGGATCTTGAGATCCAGAGCCTTTGACGACTTCCGGTGCAGAAACAGAGACGGGGATAAGAGTAACCGACTTATCATATGTGACCTTGGGCTCTGCGCGGGACGACAAGCGGCTGGTGGAATCCTGGGTAAGTTCAATCGCAGTCGCATTCTCAGGTGATTCGAGTACAGACTTTAATGTTGCATCGACATCAACGATCATAATCCAAGCGCATGGAATGAGTACCGAGTGACGCCTTGCCGAAGGAGTTCGATAAGACGAAGGACAGCCAAAAGATGTCAAGAAAAAGAAGATGGATCTCTTGGCTCTCCAGTAGTCGGATGTGATTGCAGGGATTCATGAATGCGGTCCAGTCGGTTTCGAGAGGTCACATTATACAGATGTGACAAGCACACTGTTTCGGGAATATCAACAGAACTATGCTCCTCACAACTGAGCAATGCAGCCGAATATATAAACCGTAGTTTAAGGTTTGTGAGACTGTGCATGAATGGAAAAGCAAGAAGAGTGACGTTCGTGACTTCTCTAACACTTTTTTGTTACTTTTTGCGTTTTCTTTTCGTTGGAAATAGCCGTTGCAGATCCAACCATTGGCAATTCAAGATGTTCCAACTTCAACATAAGGGATATGTTCAATGGAACCCTGCGAGGACTATGCGGATAGAATGCAAGGCGCTTATGCGCGTTGCCTTCAAGTAGAGGTTTGTGAATCGACGAGGTCCGAGCCAAACTGACCGCATGATTTCGTTCTTCTCGTCCATCTGTTAGCGGCATCAAAATGTGTTCTAAGCGCTGGCGTCCAGTGCGACCCAAACGTTGCATTATTCGTATTGGAGACTTAAAGGCCTTGAAACATACGATTAAATCGACAGAACCAACATCCAGGCCTTCTTCTCCAACGCAAGTAGAAACCAAGGTGTTATAAGCCCCCTACCAAAATTCTTGCATTACGTGGATTTGGGCTCATTAAGAGATGCCTGCAGATCCTGTTGGAGTACCGCGTTCAACTGGAAGCCGATCAGTGGCAGGAGCAGACAGAACAGGAGATCGCGATGACTATGCGCAATGACCGCTGAAACCAACTGGTTGGACGAGCGGACGAAGTGGCGTTAGCATGTGAATATTCTCCTCTACAGAATCGCGGAACTGGCTGAAAACAATTGCAGACTGCCCGCGGCATTTGAACGGAAATGTGTGCACAGTAATTCTTTTAGCTTGTACGGCTTCGAATGACCACTAGTGAAGGGATATTGTGTGGAGTTCCAGTGGAATGCACAAGCAATTCCCAGACCACGTTGGAAACGAGCCAATAGGTCGTTCCAAATTTGTTCCACCCCAGGTAGACGAATAGGTTCTGAACGGACGGAGCCGCTTGCTCGTCGACATGGAGTACTCCAGTGAGATACTGATAAAGAGGATGCAACACTTGGTGATCCAGCAACTCTGGACAATGTAACAAACAGGTCACCGTGCTGAAATCACACTGAATCCTACTACCATCCACAGTAGAAAGCTGAGCAGAGAGAAGACCGGAAGACCAATCGCCCCGTGCTTTGCTCACAATAAATTTAGCAATGTGGCCTGGACGCGAGTCACTTAGTCCGGAAAAAGAACTCAAATATACATATGCAACCATTGCGAATAAATTAAACGAACTTAACCGCCATACCTTTAGGCGGCAAGCGTAAGTGAATAGACAATTAACAAAAAATAGCAAAACCATCACCTGAAATAAAGTAACTCAGCATGCGGTTACTTAATGGAATGCAGCCCACCTGCCAAGGCTGCGCCGGTTCTGCCTACCTTTCATTAGCACCCGTTGTTTTTTGACGCTGGTCCAGGGTGGCTTCGCTCGTCGCTCACTAGGCCTACCTGACTCAAACACTAGCAACCGCATGTGTTACAGTACCATGCGCTCGACGTCGATGGAATACACTCCATGGGCGCTTGTCGCTTTGGCGCCTGCCACTTCTTCTCCGCATGCACGAGGAGTTTCTCTTTCAGCTCGGCAACGGGCTTTGTGATCAGATAGCGCCATACACGCCGATCAACCACCTTCCATTTCCAGTATCTGAAGTCAAGCTTGGAACGTGGTAGGCTCACTTTGATCATGTCCTAGTAACTGAGTTTCGGTTTCTCCATATGTCGCTTCCCCACATTCAGCTGACCATATAACAGCGGCTCCGGTATCCGCGGTGAATCTATACACCACACATGACCCAGCCTACTCAAGTGTCGCAACAAAAGGATGCCGTTCACTGCATACATTCCGCTTCTGCGCAACACCACTGTGTCTACAACAATGTCGCACCACTCGTGTCCCGAATCTGTAGCTGACACTGTTGATGAAACCGCTTTAGGTATCTCGCACCTCATCCAATATCCAGTAATAATATTCATTTTCATTCACAAGCGGTAGTATGTTTAAAAATCATAATTCTGCCCCAACACTTTACTTGAAACGAAGACAGCTCCCTAACTCTTATGCCGACATCGAGGTTTGCCTCTTCACATTCAGTTCAAAAGAGCAAATTAAATAGAATTCCCCTATCCGGCCTAATCTAATTTATTATAAGGCTGTATTGCCGGAACATGAATGTGTTAGGGTTTTGTCAGTCATATCATATCATCTGAAAAGCCGGTGCTTCCCCTTACTTACCTACCTAGCGTGTTGCCATCCAGAGTTTATAAGAGATGTAACCAGATGTAGCTCGGAATAAAAATCTTCACTCTCTTTATTTCCATTCTAAATGTTACTATGTCAGTTACAAACAGGTGTTCCGCTCACAATCCAGCCCATCCCATTTGCCTTGGTCTCCATTTGGGCGTATTATAAACTCCTCAACTAGAACAAAAGTTTCAATCATAATACACAGCGAACGCCTCTTGTCATACATCTATAATGCCATGTCAAGAACTTAGCACTGAAATTTATACGAACAGACAAAATACTTAAACGATAACATATACAATAAAACACTTCATTCTGGCTATGCTCAATTGTAAATCACAGTATGATTTTGCCAAAAGCCATGCTCTTTAGATGCAACTCATGCTTCCATTTATTTATCAACTTTACCTATTAGTACTGCGTGGGAAAGCATTATAATCAGTTTAGACTACACGTTTTGCCAAATCTTACCAAATAGCTTAGTCGCGAGTGTACATATGCAAACGCGTTATTGAGTGCAGGCTCGTCGAACGGATGTATGCCGTTCATTTAATTGAGGAGTTTCGAATTTGATTCCTCACAAGTATGTCTAGTCAGATAGGCCCGTTATATCTGAATTGCCCTGTACGGCCGTTTCACCCTTTCACGCGCTGCGGGAATAGATCGATTGGACAAGGACGATGAGTAGCACATGCCATGACTCTGTAACTGGAGGTAACGTCGTGTAGGTACTCACTTTCCGCAGCCAAATGTGTTTCCAACCTAAAGAGAGCTACGTACACTCGCGCTTTACCACTTACTAAACCTCCGCAATCGCTCGAACCTGCTCGTAATCCTATCGATCAATGGCAGCTCAGCAACCTAAATGACGGCTGTGAGGACCAAAGTTTTCTGCTACGCATCGGGAACACGCAGGGCAACGAGGGATAAATGAAAGTTATACGCACCATTTCACAGCGTTTTACTGAGTCATAGTGACTGCCTCTCATCCATCATGGCTTGTATTGGACTAGCATTAGGTTTTCCAAAAATCACTTAAACGTTTTCCAGTAAGACTTCTGACTTTTTTATAAATTTCTAAAAAATTCATAAAAATGGGTAAATAAAAGGACACTCTGGAACTATAAAAGTTCATTGTCCAATGGCTGCGCTACGGGCTAATAATCTACATGGTGTTTGCGGATGCGTGTTGTACGACGTTCTACAAGGACGCAAAGCGGAGTAGGCTAGTTGAAACCTGTGTGATGTACAAGGCACGGATGCTCTAAGTTACGGTATTGTGACATAGTCGACTAAAGTAAGGAACTACCAGTTGTCAAACATCGGAGAGCAGGGTCGTTAGCCTGCGGACATTGCAAAAATATCCAGGATGCTGTACAAAAAGATCCGAGACAAAATGTGTAGGTAGTTTCCTCACACCATTTCCTTCCAATTAACACCGTCCATCGACATCTGCGCCAAAACTCGCCCAACTTATACCCCAAGAATCGTCTGATGAGCAGCTTCTGAACCGTTGTACCATGTGACTTTCACTGCTCACTCGAGGACGTAATTATCGTTGGTTGAACGAGGCCATTACCGGCGACGAGTATTTCATGTCAAAATGAACAGGAGGAATTAGCAAATCTAAGCTAAGTAAACTCCAGTACAAATCCCGAAAGGCGGATTTAACAGTAAAACCGTGCTGCTGTCGGTCTGGTGGAATCGCCACGGCATCACCTATTTGGAACTGCTATTTGACGATCCCACGGTGACTGCCAATGTCCACTGCCAAAAACCATTAAAGGTGGTCGACGAACACCAAAATAGCGCCCAAGAACGGCTCGAATACCTCTCTGGCATGAGTACACACGTCCTCATGTGGCAAAGGTGGCACCTCTCAAGATTCAGTAGTTAGGTATTCAAGCTGTTATGCATCCAGGGTGCAGCCCGGATCTTGCTCCTACTGGCTACGACCATTTTCACCCCCTTTACAATCACATCAAGGGCAAGAAGTTCTCCGGCCGCAAAGAGTACTTTATCTAATATTTTGTGAGAAGCATCAACATAGTGCCTGAGCTTGGCAGTAAATCGTCAACAACAATGGAGGTTAAACTAATTAAGGATTATCGTTTGTTTAAAATAAATAATCAGTAAAATGTGTGCTTAAAATTTTAATTGATTTTGGAACAAATCAATATGTTTTATAGTGCGGGTCCTCTTCCCATAGGCTACACATGGAATATGCAGTGTTGGTGACTCCTGAAAGCTTGAGGCGACCGTCCTGCAATGAACACCCCCCCCCCCCCCCCCCCCCCCCCCCCCCCCCCCCCCCCCCCCCCCCCCCCCCCCCCCCCCCCCCCCCCCCCCCCCCCCCCCCACCCCCCCCCCCCCCCCCCCCCCACCCCCCCCCCCCCCCCCCCAATATTTAATATATTCCCCTCCACCTCTTTTCCAAATACACCATGGTTTTCAGGCTGTGTTGTTCAGTGATGAATTTCCTTCGGAAATGTAACCCTCCTCCAATACTTCTTGCCCTTGTAAGCCAATGGAACAATGGAACAATGGATTTATGCGGGTATAAAAGCTAAAGCTTGACAAATCCCGTAGGGTGATCAGTGCGAAAATCATAGAAGTGTGAAAAATTCAATTGGAAAACCAATTCAGTAAAATCGTTATTAACAAAACCCCCGAGATCACTACAATGCTTGTGGACTCACTGAGTTTTGAAGGTGTTGCAAAATAATAATCCACTATAACTCCGGAGGGGATCATGAGCTATGGGAGAGTATTTGGTTAAAAGAGTCACCGCCCCTTTGAAGCAATTCGCATGGGGCAACGTGTTTTGAGTTTTTTGAGCGTTCAAAATAAGAATCCACTGTTGAAATAAGCGAGGGGGAAAATTAGTTTTAAAAGTATGGATATTGGATCTCCTCAAAATTAGACTGGTACTATGGGAGATAGTGCTAATGAAGTGAGTTGCACTATCAACTCGATTTGTGAACTTCGATCAGGTTTGGTGCACTGACTACAGATTCTGGGAGAGCATTCCAGGCTTTGGCAAAACACGCACGGAAAAGAACAATGCCGTCGGGGGAACATTTCCTAAACGGCTGTACTGGCACTAGCCAGCTTCAGAATGATGGCCTCCTCAGGTTGTTGTTGTT